TATCTCCTTCTCGATGACACAGAATCCATGGGTGCCCATATTGAATTCGTCAGAGGACTGGATGACACATATCGTCACCGGCTCGTAGCAAAGGATGAGATTGCTGCGTTGCACTTCGCTACTATGGTCGGGCTCGAATTCGACATTGAAAGGCTTCTCGACCTCATACAGCTTGTCGCGTTTGAGATATTGTATTACCGTCTCCACCGCCATGATTAGTGGCTGCCGTCCTGGCTTAAAAACCGATTTGACTTTCGTGAAAAGCGGCTGTCTTGAAGCTAGGAGCCTTGTCAGAGACAGATTGTATAGCTGTAGATGACGGCTGGACTTCGGCGCGGTGTGTTTGACTGCGCTCGTTTTATCAGATGGTGTTGCGAATTGCTGGCACCCTGAAAGAGACTACGTTGTAACTGGCGATTAGCTTCGGAAAGAGACTTGGTGTGTTCCCTACCTGCTTATGTAAAAGGGCCTGTCTAGAGAGAGGACTTTTCAGCAAGATCCTGCCGATTACTAGGGCGGATCCAGAGCCTTTTCTCTTTCCGTTAACGACCTTTCGCTAGCCGAATGGCCGCAGACACGCTGGGAAGATACGGATGCTCAACGTTGTCGAACCACTCAATCATCGGGAAACACGTTTGCCCGGGTAGAAGAAGATACTAGGTAGGTATGGCCACCAACCGAAATGGTCCGAAGCGGGGTGGACGCCCGCTTTGATACGACGGGGTAAGCCTTTTCTTTGTTATTTTCTAGTAGGTTGCGGTAAAAGATGCTCACATGGACGCGGGTTTCCTAGCAGAGTCGCATTAGACTGAGGTTTCTATTGGGTATACATGCCAGAGGGTGCGTCGGCCTACCATACAATTGGGCGGCTGGAGTGAGTTGACGGAGCCCAGGGTTGGGGGCCGGTGGGAGTTGGTTTCTTGAAGCAACCAACCCAAAAAGAAGAAAGCCCGACCTCTTGCCCAAGGCACTTTTTGCCTTCAGTCCACAACCTACCACACCATTCTGTACAAGCGCAATCCACCCAGAATAAAGTAAGTATGCCTAAGAATCCGCCTACCAATATCACGCCATCGAATGCAAAAGAGTTAAAGCTGATATGCTGTGCATTCTAATCTGTAGGCGTGATTAGAACACTGAGCACGAAATGAACTCTCAACCAGGCCAACTCAAGCAACCCTAGAAGACATGGTACAAGCCAGGCGGCTTCCAGGCTGTCACGAATGAGAAGAAACAAGTAGTCGTGGCTCCAAATGGTACTAAGCAGGGCAGTCGTCCTCAAAAGACTCGGGAAGTCGACCTCTCAGTCGAGAAACCAACTCCCAAGACTGGCTAAGTTATCAAGACTTGGACAATGGGCAGCGGGCACATACAGCACGATGTACTATCGAATCCATCCGAAAAAGGTACTAGTTGCCAGGTGTGCAGCAAAGTTGTTACTCTGTTTCTTTCGTCGATCTGCTGTTCATACTATGGAAGATGGAGAAATGAGTCAGATTACTCAAACTACTAGTTACCTACCTATATTATCTTCTGTTGCTATTACGTAATCTGTGTTCGGACTTCACTTCAGGTATGTAACTATTCAGAGTGCCAAATTTAAGATAATCAGGCGAAGCAATATTAGATATGTACCCATTTCAGCAATAAATCGAGCGGACAACTTGCAAAATCGCTCAGTGTGGCCTTCGTTCTTCAATTCACGAGACTTTGCGTTAGTCTAACAGCAGGGTGTTATAGGTGCACTTGCTCAAAAGCTTGTGCCACCTTGACCAACGTCTGTACCCCGAACCTCCGGGCAAAGAAGCAGATTAGAAACCTATAATATTAAAAGGCTAAGACCCGCTACGATAAGGAGACTTTTATTCCTACGCTGCGCCTCGATGGTGTTTATTTTCGACACGGGGATCCGCCGAAGGCGGTTGCACCCGTAGTGGGAAAACTCCCCCCCTTCTCGATATCATAGCCACCATGCCTGGAGTAGAAAGTCCGGACAGCCAGCACGAAATCATGGCGTAGCACGCATGTCTTAGACTCCCGTACACGTGCGGGCGGTATGCCAATCACTGTTCCGCTGGAAAATTGCGCCGCCTCGATCGAAACAGCGTAGATCTTCCGGTCCCGCGTTCATCTAACTTCCTAGCTCATACAATATCAAATTGTTTATACTGGCCAAAACTCCTTCCATCTCTTTCCTTCATGTCTAGATCTAATACGGAACATTGCCCAACGTTCCTGTAATTGTTCCCACAAGGCCGTAGCAGGATAGGAAACTTGTGGGTACCTAGTCGACAGACCCTGTCGTTTTCAGATACCCATTCAGGAGCAAGTCCCAATCTTCCTGTTATTGTTCGAAAAATAGCAGTTTTAAACGTGTTTCCCAGACAATGAGCATAGCGATATGACTCTGTACCACTCAAGATTGATATCGTTAAATCACGCACCTTCAGTGGTGTCGCATCATCCCCAAGAAACTTGACTGATAAATACCAAAGAGCCTGTTGCTGTTGTGACTTGTTCTGGTGTATTGTAGCTGTCATTGCTCGGTATATTGTTGCTAACCATGAAACTTCAGCATCCAGGTCTTTCAACTCAGCGTTTGTAGAGTATCGAGCGGTACGCCATAAACGGATGAATGCAGCCAAAGAAGTCTCACCTTGGATCTGTGGGCCATCTACGATATGTCGCAAAAAGCCTTGAATATGAGCGTCGGGCTGGTTAGTGTCTAATTCGTTCAGTCGAAGAAATGGCGCATAACAAATAGTCTGAACTTGATCTATCTCGAATCCACTGACGGAGAGGACGCGACCATTAGGCGAGAACGCAACCGAGAACTGAGATGGATGACATGTTTCCATCGCTTCACGGCCGCCCACTGCTATATAATGCCGACCCAAACGAGCTCCCGATTCAGGGACCCAACTGGGAAGGCTGTTGTTGCCCAAGACCGAAGAAGTAATAGAACTAGAGCTGAGGATTGAAAGACTCCTCGTTGCCTTGATCTGGTATTGCGCAAAATCAAGATACACCTGTTCCAAAGATTTCTGATAGTCTGGTCGAATCAGTCGTACAAACTCAGCCTCGGGATTTAGAAATCCGTAAAGAGAAAATATCATGTCTCGAGGGTCAGTAGCCTTTCTGTTTTGTAAAAAGTCGAACAATCCTAAGGGGAGAATCTGTAGCTGACAGGGCTCAGCCACCTGCCATATTCTGACGGTATGCTCCAAGCCCGCCATATCGTTTCGTTTCAGCCTTGACCAGCAATGCTCTAATGAATCAAGGTGGGCAATATAAGGATGGTAACCTATGTTGGGTAGGGAGACCAGAACCGAAAACACCTCAAAGTTTGAAATTGCTCGGCATAAATGACGCCAATTTATGTGTTTCGTGCCACATAGTACCTCTAGCTGGCGCGCGAGGGCCACTTCCTGGAATATCCAAGCTCTAGTCCAGTATGGTCGTTTAGAGAACTCCAATAACGCTTTATTGGCAGTCATATCCAAGAAGGGAGAATTCTGTTTCGACAAAAAGTGTAAAAGAATGCCAGGGGCGGGTGGGAGTCGCCCAGTTTTCGTATGTATTGTTGACAGGTAGATCAGATAGTTGATAGCAGTGTTGCTGTCCTGGGATTCTTCTCCCACCCATGCAATCACCTTTTCTGCCTGATGATATATCAAGCCCATCACGCGCACTTGTTGTTCTCGCTCTTGAACATCATCTTGGTTAATGCAAAGCGCGTCGACCCATAATATACGATCTTCGGTTTTATGACGAATATGTTGCAAAGCAACGAATAGATTCGGAGCGCAGCTCACGAGGGTGTTGGTTTGAGCAAGATGGACTACTAAGCATGTACCTGAACTTCCCCAGACGTAGGAAAGTGCTTGGTACGGAAGGGGATCGATGTCAAGGCTCGTGATTATGATATCGATACTAGGAAGTGTATCTAGTTTAGATGACGGGTAGAGCCGAAGTAGCCTGATCTCTTTTTTTTCTGGATCGAGAGGGCGATAGATATTGGCAACAGACATCGTGGTCAGCTAGGCGGTTCATGAAAGCGAACAATTTCGCGCCTTTTTGCTCTAAGATGCAACCTCACAAAAACAAATCCCGACCAGGATTCCCTCTGTGTCCCAGGCAGCGCTTCACTGACCTTCCTACTTGGGAGGGCATTTGCATCGAACGTGGGAGGATCTGATGGTCTGTTTTTGTCGGGTTGTCCTACCATACGAGAGCTTCTGTGACGTTCTGTCAAAAGTTAGAATGCTCCCTGCGTCTTGCTGAGGGTTCGGAGCTGCTACTACTATGCAGTCGGTGGGCACTGGGCTCGCAAACTATGACAATCGTGGGGCTGATTAAAGCGGACTCCCTAACGGAGAGAGATATCTGTGTTAGGGAGCCTCAGTCAATCGAGGGGCCGTACTGAAAGGCACGCTCAACTCTTGAACCCACCGTATACTGATTTCCCGATATTATATAGTCCTAGAAATGCCCTACTATATCCTTCCAAATTCTAACTCCTCCTTCATCAAGATGGTAAATCTGTTGACAGACTGTCCCTTTGCGAATTAAAGACCCCTTGACTGGCGCCTATGGTGTCATAGATTAGCGTCTGCGAGGGGGACTTCCTCACGTTAGGATGGAATGCGGCGGAGCGGATGCGCTGTCTTAAGTACGATATATCTATAGCCTTACTACAAGATTTACCTATCTATAACACAATTTTATACGCTTAGGAGGAGTCAAACGTCAGACAAAACAGAGTCTGAAATATTCAACTTGTGTTTCAGCAACACAAACATGCAAGAGCCCCGATCAATGCTCAACTCCTACAGAACGCCGTGACGGACGTCATGCGATGCCATGCGATGCCATGCGATGCCATGCTAGTAAGAAAATGCCTCACTGGATGCATGCTGTCCCTTCCAGGATCCAGACATAGATAGTCCCTGTCTCTCCATTGGTTCCTTGATCCATCCTCCCACCCTCGGTGTATCTATTCATCGCAGACGTCGAGAAAACAGGCCGCCTAGCCATCCGACCGAGCGCTGCACAGAAATGGCGCTACGATAAGCTAGGGCGGGGGCAGGCGCGGCGCCACGAGCAAGAACAGGAGCGAGAGCGATAGGTCGTCGTGCTACGACGAGACCAGCCCCTGCTGCTGGGCAGTAGAGGGTACAGCAAGAGGCCTGGCCTGCCGGGACCGGGGCCGGGGCCATCATCGAAGAGAAAGACAACGTGGCAGTGGCGGCGGCATGGGCGGTGCGGCTCTGGCTTTGTGTGCTGTAGTACCTCTTCTTCGTTGCTAAGCTCTGAATAAACCTCGTCTTGATCCGTGCCTTGATGGAGGGGCGCTTTGCAGCAAGCTGCTCGCGTGCAAGCCGGTCCTGCTCGTTTTGCTCCCCAGTGCCGTCGTCTTTATTCTTCTTGTCTTTCGCTGCCGCCGGTGTCTTGATAGGGGTGTAGGTATCCTTGAGTGCCTGCTCGTCGGCCGCCTGCTCGGCGAGCGTGTAGATGTTGCGCAGGGGCACGTTTATGGGGACGTGGTCTGGGAGGCGTGCGTCTAGGTCGTGGAGGGAGAGGCGGAGGTAATCGGTGGACGTGGCCGTGATGGGGACTTTGGAGTCCGAGACGTCTACTTCGAGCGCGCCGTCGGTCTTGTTGTGAACAGCGCGCAGGACCATCACGGTGAGAGTGAATGGTCTTGTGTCGGGAAGCTCCAGAGTGCCCTCGGTGCTGATGCTGGCCATCAGATGCTCTAGGCGCTCCCTGAGGCTGGTATAGGTGCAATCGAGGATGATGACGGTACGGATTTCACCATTCGTTCCGAGGATATAGTCTGTGATTGAATGTCATTGATTAGCTTGGTGGTGTTGTCGCTGAGACACAGGAAAAAATACCTTTTGCCTGCGACAACCCCGTCTTGCTCGAGAAGTCCACCTCCACAACAATCGGGCTGGGGTTCTGCCAGCCCCATCCGATATGAATGTCCGGCCTGGCGCTGCTGTCGAGCAGGGACTGCCCAGACAGGCAGTAGATGCCGACCGGGTCGAGCTCCTTAGGGATGTATCGTCCGGAAACCTCATTTCCATCTTTGTCCTGGTCTTTCTCGCCCTGTTTCTCGCGCTGCTGCTGCTGGTCCAGCTCCCGTGACTAGTCGGAGAGGGTCTGCTGCACACGCTCTACAATGAGCTGACCGAAAAACTGCTTGAAGGACAAGTGGAACACCGACTCAGGCTGGCGCGTCATGGTAATCGTGCACAGGCGGGGATTGTAGAGAACCGGGCTCATTCGCTGGTGCACGTGGCGGCCCAGGGAGGCAAGGTCTTGTCGGAGTCCTGTTGTCACCAAGGATGCGTCGTTTAGCGCGTCGAGGTCCTCAGGCTCGGACTCGGACTCGAAGTCGTCGTCGGCGTTGGCGTCGGTCAGCTGCAGCAGCTCAACAAGGAACTTGTACTCGGCGGGTACAAGGGGCAGCGTGATCTGCGTAGAAAACTCGGTCTCCCAATCAGAGAAGGCTTTGTCGAAATCCCCCTCGTCGCGATGGTGCTGGATGAAGTCGAGGACAGTGCAGACGTTCTCCGGCCAAGCGTGCGCGTCTGGTGCGTCGCACAAATATCGAGAATGGCTTCCAGGTACGGAACCGTTCGGATCTGTCGAGTGCGGTGTATTCGCCATGATTTTGGATTTTGCGGTCAGATTGGGCTTGTATCTGTTTTGAATGTTCACGGTCTGTGGACGAAGTTGAAGTTGGAGTTTGTCCGCGACAGAAAGACAATCGCCCTCCGTACTCCGCTAGTCACGTGTCCATCGCCTCAGCCTCAACCCGCCGGTCTGTGCGTGTGCGACCTGGACTTGGCTACGTCATTTCTCCCACCTCCCGCACTTCTCGAGGAAGTACCAAGTACCTAATTAATTAATTGACCGTCGAGGCTATTGAGTCTATTGTTGAGGGCACGCTCGAGTCTGTATTGTTTGATATCACATATTTGGTGTACAGATTCGAGTCCATGGAGGAACCTTAAGTACTAACCCGAGTTCCCTGAGTCTACCTCGAGTCTCTCGAGTTTTTCCTCGAGTCTGCCGAGTCTTTTTCGAGTTCCATGCTGGGGTGTATCGCGCCGCGTCTATGGAGCAGTAAGAGTCGGGTCGCTCGAGGGATCTCGAGTCTTAACCCAAAAGTCTCGAGTCCACTTCGAGTACTACTAACCCTATGGCATCTGCCGAAAAGTTGGGATCAGTGTTTGAGTTGTTTTGATTTTACTCCAACGTTATATCTAATTATTATCTATTTATATTGTGTGGCTAAGACACTCAGCCAGTCGACGATGTTTTCAATTCAACAACATCTATGGAGCAATGAGCTGGGTCTGCCTCACCGCGAGCGATTTTTCACTTTCTATCGCGGGCCAAGAGCTCTCGGGGAGCTCAACTCGGCGTGGCAATGGAAGACTGCTTGCCCTATGCTAATTTAACACTCTACCAGGTTGGTCTGTCCGATACACTGCTTCAGCTGTGTTGAACCATCCTTCATACTCGACAAGCTCCTTTGATTCGTCGAGATCTCCGTGAAAATGCCCTCCTAAGCCGCCATCTTCAACAGAGAATGCGTGCGTATGCTCTGCGCGGAGGCGGCAATCTTGACCATCGCCCGAATTTAGAACTGATAATCCGGCTAGCGGCGCTTCGCCCTCGTAGAAGCGTAGCGCGGGCCAGCGCGACGTGTAGCGGCTTCGTGACGGGCGCGTCGTCTGGGTCGCGGATTCCTGCCATTTGGACACTCGATCAGCCTCACTCGACTCGACTCGTTTCTTGATTCTCGAAGCTCTACCTGTACTCCGCATCTCTTGGTCCCGATTCCCCGCATTAGATATCCATGTCATGCACGCATGCATGAATGCAGGCATGTGTGCGGAGTAGACCCCAATGGAGTCCAGAGAGACTGATCATAGAGCACCCCTCGAGGCACGCATATCACGATGATGATGATGATGATGGTGGTGGTGGTGGTGGTGATGTTGGCGGCATGTAGACAAACAAGATTGAGCTTCCATCTCTCTATCTATCTATCTCTCTATCTATCGCTCGCTGCCTCGCTCGTTCTGCACAAGCCTCAGATGAGTGATCAATTGTGATTGTGTCGAGACGGTTGGGCAACCATGCCCGTTCGGCCGCCTAAAGCACCCATAGCACATTGCATGACTCTGCAATAACCAGTCGAACCTGTCAAGAATAAACATAAAGCTTGTTTGCACCATGGTGACGAGTGTTGACGACCGGAGTGAAAAGTCTACAGGCGAGCAATTCAGACGACTCTGCTTCTTTTCCATCCTCCGGTCAAAGCAAACATTGCTTCATCCAGATTCCCCTCCCCCCCTCATCTATCAGAAACGCCGCCGAAACACCAAGCCGCTCAGCCATCCTGCAAGGCGTCGCGCCATGACACCACGACAATCGACAGGACCAGGCCCAGGAGCAGGCCCAGGACCAGGGCGAACAAGGCAGGGGCCGTATGCAATGCGCGGTGGCAGCCGTGTTGCGCCGCGGCCCGGCACCGCCGCCCAGTCGCTGTAGAACCTCTTCCAGCCATCATGAGGACCAAGACTGAGACCGAGACCGAGACCGCGGCCGACGAACATATTATCGCTACCCGCTCCTCTCTTCTGCTTGTGGTTGTGCATGGCGGCATCCGCGGCGTTCGATGCAGTCTGCAGCGCGGCCGTCTTCTGTTGCACAACAGCAGCAGCAGCAGCAGCAGCCGCATGTTTGCCGTTCTTGAGCTTAGTCTTGTTCTGGTGGTCCTCGGCGTTGCGGCCGTGGTGCGCCGCCGCGTTGGCCCTGGCAAAAGCCTCCTGGGCATCTTCAAGATCTTGATGAGCCGCAGCCACCTCCGCGAGCACGTAGATGTCGCCCAGGGGGACATGTACGGGGACATGGCGTGGGAGACGCTCGTCGAAGTCGTGTAGGGTCAGGCCGAGGCCGAGGCAGGCGGCAGAAGTCGGCGGCGCGGGTGTGACGGGGACCCGGTGGGCCGAGAGGACCGCTTCGAGATGGGGACGGGGATTGCCCCGGGGATTGCCACTGGCGCTGTTGCGGACCTGAGGTTGTGAGCTGGTCGAGGGGGCCTCAGCAGCGACTGCTTCGACGGTAGTGGCGCGCAGGATCGTCACGGTGAGATCTTTGAAGGTGGGCTTGTCGATGGTGTCCTCCTTGATGCCGTGGCTACTGAGTAGGCGCAGCCGTTCACGGAGATTGTGGTAAGCACAATTGAGGACGATGACAGTACGGATCCGACCATTTGTTCCAAGGATGTAATCTGTAATTTATAACGATACATATTAGCGCAGGGTTTAGGATGGATGGATGGCAGAGATGGGATCTGGATTGAATCAACAGGGTTGATGCCGAAAAAGATGGCTAACAAGTTAGAAACACTGTTGTCATACTGACTGACCTTTTGCCTGGTCCAGCTCTGTCTTGCTTGAGAAGTCTACCTCCAGAACCAGCGGTTTTGGCGCCTGCCACCGCCATCCGACTTGTACATCGGGCCGTGCACTGCCGCCGGGGATCGACTGCTCGGTTATATGCACAATGCTGTGTAGGCCTAGTTCTAGCTTCTGCTTCTGGCATAGCTGCTCCCTGTACTAGCGGGAGAAGGCATCGCGCAGACACGTGGCGAGAAGCTCGCCAAGATAGTTCTTCAATTGGCAATGGAAGGACGTCTCAGCCGAGCGCGTCATGGTCAGTATGGATAGGCGGCGGTTGTAGTAGAAAGGGCGCATGAAATGGAGCATGTGGCGGCCGAGAGAAACAAGGTATTCTGCAATAGGCACACTGCCTTGGCCGTGGTCGACTTGTCCTTGAACGTCACCGAGCGAGTGTGATGCGACAGGTTGAGCAGCAAGATGATGTTGATGGGTTGCAGGCGAAGAACAAGCCTTGAGTGGGTTTGCAGCTGGAGAGTATTGTCAGTAATTGATCTTACCTCCATCATCTGATCTAGGGTTTTCAAGGTGGTAGACAATGTTCACGTGGCATGGCACGGAGTGCCAATTATAAGGTGGGCAGGAAAAGATAAGAGCGGGCAGGTTGAGTCCTTAGGCAGCAAGGAAGAGAAATGAGGGCGAGCAGAGGATAGCATACATCGACATCAACTTACCTGGCGTTGTGGCTGTAGCTGTAGCTGTGAGAAGATCCGCCTCCTCCTCCTCAAGGTCCTCGAGGTCCTCGATAGCAGTAGGACTCAACTGCAGCATCTGCATCAGCAGCTCATGTTCCGCTGGATCGAGAGGCAGCTGTATTTTGGTGCAGAATTCGGCCTTATAGTCGTCAGCCTTGTCCTGGTCCTCATCGTCGTCGTCGGCGCCGCTAAGTTTCAGATGATGGTGCTGCCGGTGCTTCTTGATGGCCTCCAAAACGGTGGAGATGTTCTCTGGCCAAGCAGTGCAGGCGCCCTTTTGGTCGTTCCCGTTCCCGTTCCCGGTCCGACAGCAAGACGATAAATGGCCATTTGCATCTTTGTCTGTCGGCCGAATCGGACTCGTTGTCGCCATGGCGTGTGGCTTCGGGTTTGATGGAGTGCGTACGGGTTTGTTTTGGTGTTTTTTTTTTTGGTCGTTGGTGACGACCATCAAAGACGATGAGTGCTGTCCGTCAGTGGTGCGTGCGCACTTTCACGTGCAAAGACAAGCACGTGATTCTCTTTCTTTCCTTGTACCCCTTTCTTCTTGTCCTTTCTCTTTCTCGAGGGTTTGACCTCGACCTCGACCTCGACCTCGAGTATCAACTCGAATCC